CGAATTTCATCTAACGAATTTCCGTCATTTTCACGAAAATGCTTCATTTATTTTGCACTTTCAAGCATGTAGAATTTAGAGTGAACCTTTGCCTGTATTCTACAATCATTTTTAAATGCGTAAGTGATGTGGTTTATGAGATATTAGCATTTATTTATAACAGTCGACTATACGCGAGTACGACGAATAGGAGACGCTCTCGTATAATGTTTAATAACTCCTAAACTGAACGGGCTATGTTAATAAAAGTTATAGAAGAATTTAGCTAAAGGAGTTGCCTTTCAAACGCATATAGTTAGTTGCATGGGAATTTAGTAGAAAGCTATGAAATTATTGAAAAACCGTAAAGATACCTCACGGTATGCGGTATCGTTCCCGACATCACGTACTAAAATAGTTAATAACTAATTATTGAGAGGGTTTAGAACAATGAAAATTATATGGGAAAGTTGCTAAGGGTCCATACTTTATTCTTCAATTCTAAAAGTTCACAGAATCATCATGATTATTGAGTTATTAATGATTTTTGCCTGGCTGACTGATTTAGCCCGTGGGAGCTGGAGCTTACGAACCTTTAAGTCTAAAAGTTCACAGAATCATCCTAATTATCGAGTTATTAATGATTTTTGCCTGGCTGACTGATTTAGCCCGGTTTCGTGGATCCAAACACGAGATGGCGTTACTCTCGATTTGTAAAATTTTCTATCCTTGTCTAACCCTATATCTTTCCTTGTCTAACTCATTGCTCAAATGCTATCCTTATCTACCGCTATTTCTTTCCTTGTTTAACTCATTTTTCTAGCTTTATCTTTGTCTTCCCCTATTCTTTTCCTTGTCTAACTCATTTCTTTAATGCTATTCTTGTTTACCTGTGTTCTTTCCTTGTTTTATTAATTTTTGTATTGATAAATACCTCGACGAGTTATCCTTCGTAGTAAGCACGGCTACTGATGATGCATCACCATATTCCAATAAGAATTACGCAAAAATTAATTATATTAATCAACCAAAAAATTTTACATTAATCACTGAAATTCCCTATACATCGAAGTAGGATACAAAATAAAAAAAATAATGAATATTATGAGGAGTTTCAAGAACTTAGAATCATAGGCAAGGTACAGAATAGACCTATAACACCTGATATATTTTTTCATCCACGTCAGGAGGGCTGTGGGTGCCCTTACCATATCCGTGTCGCTTCCAACATTACCGATTCAGCCTAAAATATGATTACAACATCAGCACTGGTTGCAATTATAATGAAACGTAACTATAACATAGTCTACTTAACTTTGCAACAGAATATTGTTTAAACAATAAGTTTCTTGCAAAAGAAAGTGAATGTAGTGTACAGGGTAGATTTAAATTGACTGTAAAATATTGTAAAAGAATACTGATACATGCTACAAACTTTATTTCAATACTATCACTCAACAATTAACTCGAACTGCGAGAAAGACCTCTCTTTATCAACAATCATTACCCACATACCATAATTTACATTATACAAGTTTTATTCCAACCAATGGGTAGAATTAGCATTTTCTACCGTATCATTCGCAACAAATAACTTTTCATCCCCACGTTATCATTAAATATAACAAACCATAATTCAATCTTACATTACACATTAATCTTCCTACTCCAAAATTCCCTTTATCAATCATTCCACAAATTTAATCAACAATTCCAAACATCCACACAACTACAATTCCTTCGGGTGATAACACACCAACGTTATCACTCACACTTATCAACCAATCCTCTCCCAAATCGTTTCGTTTCACCTCGACTCAAACCGCTGAAACTACTCCCAACGACCCAAAATATTAAGTTTCGATATATAAATTCCAATCCCATAACATTGATATTAAAAAACACTCTAATTCTGTGTTTCTTCGTCACTACTGAACACAATAAGAGAACGTTTCTCCTGATCCGAACTTTCTTCCGCAGCATCTTCATTTCTATACTCCACCCTTCCCAAAATCTCCGTTCTCCTTCGTTTACGCTCTCTCGACAGATCTCTGCAAATTTTATAATACGGAGCCAAGCACTTCTGAAGTCCTTCGCTGAATCTTCTACTTCTCTCAACGCAGGTATCCGTACTCACAAAATGGAACTCCAACTGTTCCGCCAAATTTATACCTTTCTCTATACTTTTCAGAGAATTCTCAATTTCCAAGTCCACGTCGCCACTATCTTCCTCCGAATTCGTCTCCTCAATCTCAGATTTCACTTTCACCAAATCTGCCTCGTCGCCCTCTTCGTCCACCAATAATTCCTCAATATCCTCACGATTCATGTGAACGAAAGCTTTCCCTCCTATGATCTTAGCATGGTCCATTATGTAGTCGATCCTGCATTTCACCGGTTCGATTACGTTTCCGTATTGTACCGACTCCGGCCAAATGTTCTTCCAACAAGCGTTCATAGTCGACGGTCGTATCTTGCCAACAGACGAGGAGACAATCTCGACGCAGTCTAAAATCGAAAGAAGTCTCCACGCCTCCGTCGTTCCGACGTCTTCGTCGTGATCCGCTACCAAAACCCACTGCAACAATTCCTCCATGTAATAAGTCTTAAACGTGGATATAACTCCTTGATTCAGCGGCTGAATCAAGGATGCTGTGTTCGACGGCAGAAATGTTATCTCTACGTTTGGATGATTCAAATCTCGCGGATAACTCGGTGCACCGTCTAGTATCAGCAGAACTTTGAAATCGAGATTCTCCTCTTTCAAGTAACTCTCTACGCTTGGAACGAGACAGTTTAGAAACCATTTCTCGAACAGATCAGCTGTCACGCGAGCAGTTTTACTCGCGGTCCAGTAGACCGATAATGCGTTTTTATTGACGTTTCTCATTGCACGAGGATTCAAGGATCTGTAAACTAGCATTGGTTTCACGATGTGATCGCCTGTTGCGTTGCTGCACATTAGTAGAGTTACACGATCGCTCGATAAGCTGAAACTTCGAGTGACTTTCTTCCCTTCGTTCGTGATAAACGTGATTTTCGGCAGTTTCTTCCACCAGAAGCTTGTTTTAGCGGCGTTGAAAACTTGACGAGGCGAGTATCCACGTTGTGCGATGATTCTTTGTAGTTCCTTTGTATACGCTTTGGCAGCTTCGGTGTCGATCGACGCACTTTTCCTTGGTATCTTCATGTTCTGCAGGGAGAAACGTTTTTTGAAACGATCGAACCAGCCTTTGCTGGCGACAAATTCAGGGTTGAGAGGAGATTCACCGGTTTCTCTCAAATGCTTGTAGATTTGCAAAGCTTTAAGTTTGATGTCGTTGGTGTCCGGTTGAGTTCGTTCTTTCGAGCTCTCGTCGATCCAATCGATCAGAGCTTTCTCCATCTTCTCGAGGATCGGGGCTCTAGGACGAGCTGTCTTATTCGCAGACGTGGAAGAACTCGCGGCAATGGACGATCTAATTTTTTCCTCATTTTTCTGTATAGTTCTGATCGTCGCCTCGTTTAAACCTAGGGTTTTCGCAACGTGCGCTACCCTTTCTCCCCTTTTAAGACGATCTAAGATTTGTACCTTTAATTCTAGCGAGATGAAATTCCTCTTTAGAGGGAGTTTCTTTCCTCTGTTAAGCATCGTTCGAGGCTGAAATTTAATTGTTTGAAGAACGTTGAGTAATGTTTATTGCCTCGAGTGATTTTTCGAAATCATTTTCTCTTAGGTGTTTCGAATATCTGTTGCGTTTTTTATTTGTATCTCTTGCACGGTGTCCAAACACCACACATTTGGGATTGACCCGCACAGGGGACTGAATTTATTTGAAAATTTCTATTTCTATTCTATGAATGAAACCGAGACGGTTGGGGAATTTCGGAAAATAATTCGAGCTACGGCAGAAGATTCTTTATTTCTTCTAAATGCAGGAGAAGATTATTGGATCGAGGGTTGTTTTCAAATTTCAGGTGGTTTGTTAATCGAGTCCGGTTTCTTTATATTAGGTCGTCCCATAAGTTCGTGTCAAATTTGATAATATAGATGGATATTTCCAACGAACCTTTAAATTTGATAAAGAAAAACATACTCCAGACGACAGTGATAATAAAAATTAGTAATGTTATTTGCTTTCTAATAAGTGCTTATTATTATAATTTGTATTTCTTAGATTTATAAAAAGTCTGAATAACTGTTTATCCTATCTTTGGTTTAATATACAAACTCTTAAAATCATTAAGAGGAAACCCAAAATAAATTCTTCGGGTTTCTATTATTTCTAAGCTTCGTTCAACGCCGTTCAATAAACTTCCCCTTGTTTGCATTCGTTCCAACTTTCCCTCAACTAAACATCTGACTTTCGCCAGTTCTCGAGCGCAGTCCTCCGAGAACACGGTTTCCACAGAACACGAAACCCATTCCCCTTCATTCTACCAATTCACGGTCTCTCTTAACACGTCTTCGATACAATACACTCCGAATTAACCGTGTTACAACAGTCTCGACTGCAGAATCCTCACCGTTTCACGCACAACACACTCGTTCGACGCATGTCTACCGCAATGAAGTCTCCCGAAGTATCCAATAATTACACTTGCCCTTTGAGATTCCGATCACATCACGTGCTATACGAATACCACCCCTAATCTCTAACCGTGTTACACGGGAACATCGCTCTAACCGTGTTGAAAGGAGACCGTGTAGTAAGGGGTTAGGTTCGTCCTAGTCTCTATATTCGCGCTTGTATATCAACTTTCCTACATTATCAAACATAGCTACCAACGCTATCGATTCTACTAGGTGTAGTAAGACCGCTCTTACCGATAGTCAGCCTCGTCACCGAACAGCTGGCCATGTTTCCATGGAGATTACGCGATCAATACTCCGGGTGGCTGGTCGTGCGTCGTCGGGGCGACCAGCGTCGTCGTCGTGGAAAGAGTTGTCGCTGGCCTAGCAGGCCATCGAGAGGAGGTTCAGCGGCGCTTTTTCCACACAGGACTGTCATTTCTCGGAGGATTTTGCGACTTGTGCGAAGATGGCGAGAAAGAACGTGAGAACTTTAACTCTGGTAGGTTGCACGTTCACTTATCTGCTGATCGGCGCCGCGGTTTTCGACGCTCTCGAGTCGAACACGGAGACAAAACGCTGGGAATTTCTCTCGGGTGAGTGTTTTTCCGGTGATTCAATTTTTTTGGTTGTTTGTCGCGATAAGTTGCCTTTCGTTCGATTAATTATCTCGTATCTTGGATTGTCTGGGAGGAATTGAGACGGTAGTGGTGCTGAGGAGGTTGATTAAGTTACGTGTTAAACGAGAGTTTTAAGAAAACTATTTTTTAGTTGGTCAAGTTTTATTTAAGTAGGAAAGTGTGGGAAAATTTATGTTTTTATTTGTAGTACTGTTTTGTGTAATCTGAGAGGATTTTTATTTTAACGTTTTTAAGGAGACTTGTTCAGGAAAGAGCAGGCATAGTTGGTGGGATTTATGGCGTTTTTCGTGTACGGTGATTCAATTTGCACTGCTTGCCGGTTTCGATGCTCTGCTTTGCAGAATTGATAAGTGATAAACAAGTGATTGTTATTCGTAAGAGTTTTCGACGTTTTAATGCAAGTTTTCGTTTGTCGAAGTAATGATCGATAAATTTTCTGGAACACGCTTGATACGTTTCTAAAGTTCTGTCTAAAGAAACTGACGATTAAAATTAGCCGTTTGTTTGTACGAAGTTCTATGTAATTTTCTCAATGCATATCGAAACTTTCTCATTTTAAAAAGTAAGTTAATATGAAATTTTTCTTCGTGTAATTTTGGTATTTTTCAAATGTTGGAAAGCATGAAATATGTTACATTTGCAATAGCGTGAGAGAAAGTTGATCGAGAAGTGTGTTTATTGGTGTAATGCTTGCAGAGGTTCGTCGAAATATGATGAGGAAGTACAACATCACGCAAGAAGACTACAGGATGCTGGAGATCGTTATAATCGAGAACAAGCCGCTGAAAGCTGGCCCTCAATGGAAATTCGTCGGTGCCTTTTATTTCGCGACACTTGTGGTCTCTATGATAGGTGAGTGTTTGTTTTGTACGTACTATTCGTGGAGGAGAAATTAAATATATCGTGGGTGATCAATATCGTGTTGCAGCCTTGGAATTTTAAGCATGCACGTATTTGCATAATGAAGCGATTCTTCGTGACAAATTCAATGTACATATACGCTCTATCTATACAATTTTTGAGAAGGAGCTTTGAAAACATTCTTTATGATGAAAATTCGGGATAAGAAAATTCTTAATTCTGAAAATTCAAGATAAGAAAGTTCTTAATTCTGAAAATTCGGGATAAGAAAATTCTTAACTCTGAAAATTCGAGATAAGAAAATTCTGTATAAAAGAAATTCTAAAAATTCGAATTCTCCGGAAGCATACGTGAAGAAATCTCCACAGATTACTTACAGTCAACGCTTCAACACTCACCGAGTTGTACTCACTGTCATTTACACGTGACATTAAATTTTACTTATAATTTCTCGTAACGTTTCGAGGCTATGGACACTCGACGCCAGTGACAAGACCAGGCAAAGCTTTTTGCATGGCGTACGGCATGGTGGGCATCCCCTTGGGCCTGGTGATGTTTCAGAGCATCGGTGAACGTTTGAATAAATTCGCCTCGGTGGTCATCAGACGGGCAAAAACGTACCTACGCTTCCAGAAAACAGAGGCAACGCAGATGAATCTGATGCTTGCAACTGCTTTCCTTTCGAGTATAATAATGACGACTGGAGCTGCTGTTTTCTCGCGTTACGAGGGATGGAGCTACTTCGATAGCTTCTATTATTGTTTCGTAACGTTAACCACCATTGGTTTCGGCGATTACGTCGCTCTTCAGGTAGGATAAATTTGATATTTCATTGTGATTTCAGAGTTGAAATTTAAAAATTGAAAATTGATTTCAATTTAGTGAAAGTTCCTTGCGAAATGAAATTATCGAGTAGTGTAATATGAAATTTTGAATTGAAATGTCACGCCTGTTTGTCATTTTCCAACACTCGAGTGATCAATTAGAAATTTGATATTTCGTATTACACAAGATAATATTTCGTTCGTTTTATTTTCGATGAACGTTTAGACGCTGTAAATGTTGCAGAACGATCATGCGCTCTCCACAAAGCCTGGATACGTGACCTTAAGCTTAGTTTTGATCTTCATCGGCCTGGCTGTCGTCGCTGCTAGCATAAACTTGCTCGTTCTTCGCTTTATGACATCGTAAGTGTAGTTTTCTTTATCCAATGGTGCGGGTGTATGTGTGACACGTGGCTCCTTATACATATCCTCCCTCAGTATTTTAAGATCTGTGCTGTGAATGTAGGTCATGTCGAAGATATTACTTTCATAAAGCTTTCTTTCTGTGTCATTCTATTCCACTCGATTTAACATTCTTACAAGACGAAGGTAAAAGTGTTTTTGTTAGAAAAGGAAGACACATTTATTTTTATGAAGGAGGGTATTTCATTTCCAATATTATTTGGAGAATTCCAAACTCTCGTTTTTTCTTACTCTCAGATATTCTCGAATAGCTCTAATTTTGCTTTCAACTCGTCTCCGTTTTAGTCTCACGCATTACTAAATCACAACTTTCCAATTTCCTCAAAAGTTGCATTGTCGCATTACCAATGGTTTCACAGTAAAATTCTCAAAAAGTGGAACGACCATTCGAAAGATAAAAAATCGCCACGTTCAGATTTCAAAATCACAACTTTCCAACTTCCGCAAAAATTGCATCGTCACATTACCAATGCCTTCACACTAAAATTCTCAAATTGTAAAACATTCTTATCAATCGTAAAACAGGGATACTGGAGACGATTGTAGCGACGACGAGCTCGACGAACCTTCCCAATTCGTAATGATCGACGGTGACGTCGTCCTCATGAATGGAAAACCATTAGCTGCCCAGGAGCCTGCAGTTCACGACACGGACGACTGCGTGAGCGTATGCTCGTGCACGTGTCTAGGACCAACTAGTTCCGAGCTTCTCGAACAAGGATATCAAGGATACAGGCCACCTCCGACTTCTGCGTCTCGTCGTGTCAAACGTGTATCCGTCTGATGGAAGGAGTTCCGTCGTCGCAGTTTACGTCGTCGATTATCGGGGGCGGACAGCAGGGAGCTGCTCGGCATCGACGTGTGAGGAATCGACTCGAGAATGAGTGGGAACACTCGTAAAGATCCACTTTACCGAACGAAGAGAAACAAAAGAGAGAGAACGAAACGATTTCACACAATGTGGAATTTTTCAAGACGATTCGCGTTGGATTGATGTTCGAAACTGTGTTCTTAGGATCTACCTTATAAAACGCTGAAGAAATAAACGCCTTCGTCGATTTTTGAAGACGTATTTTCAAGGAGAATCTCGTGGATGTGATTCTCGTGTATCAAGCAACAATTACTCGTCTCGTATTGTATTATTACGAAGTGATAGGCGTGCAGAGGGAGAAGTGTTTGATCGTTTGTAGACGATTTTCTAACGATTTCGTACATTTCATATCGTTCCACGTATCATTCCGCGGTGAATTTCGCGACGAAAGACTGCCGCACACGTTCGTTGGACGATACTGTCGAGGAGCTGGAGGAATCGTAAAATAATTCCATTGGTATTGAAATTCGAGACTGTCCCTTTGCTCGGAGGATTACTTCGTTCTGGGAGAAGATCGTGATTTTCTTTGTAGTACACAGATTTATAGAAACAACTTGTTAACAGTATATAAGAGTTTTGGTACATTTCAAAATTCTTGGAAAGCAAAAATTTTCGTTCGCTCTGATAACTGTCTTCGCTACTAAATGAAGAAAAAAATATTCCAATATTTTGAAATCGAAAAATTTTCTTCAACGGTACGTACGAATTTTGGTACATTTCAGAATTCTTGAAAAGGAAAGATGTCGATTCAGTTTTACAACTGTCTTCGTTATTCAGTGAGAAGTGAAAGTTATTAAATTCTTCTATATGTATACATATTAAACGTACCATTTTACGAATATTAAACAGTAATCCTTTCGAAAGAGAAAAGTGAACGATCTCGATAATTCGTACGTATAGGTCAGTATATTAAAAACGAACAGAAGAATAGCCTGGCCTCGATAGCGTGATTGTTAAATATATACGATTCAATGTTTGTACCAGTAGCCATAAAGGAAACGTGAAAGTCCCCGTAACGTCAAATATAAATTTGTGTAAAATCGACAAGAATGAGAAATCGATGTTATAGGGTGTAGCGAAATTTTGTAGCTACGAAAGATTACGTTCGTCGATTAATCAACGTGATTTCACTTCGATTTAACCGTGAATCATACTAATTCATCCACGATCGTTCTCATTCGAACGATACCAATTTTATTGTACTCGGAAAAAAGAAGAAGAAGATGACGCAGAAAGAGAAAAGAAAACGCAGCCGAGCGTCGTATTTCTTTTAAGCGACTAGAGAATACAATTAAACGACAAAACAGGAATATACGGGAAGACTGATAGTTGAGGTTAAATTAACTGGCTAGCTGTTACTTTTTTAACGACGATTTTTCTATACGCGCCACTCTTAGCCCTCCAACAGGTTGAAAATCGTTGTGTTTTCATTTTATTCCTTTTCGTAAACATACCCGATTCTTGTGTAAGCGATTTGTGATAGAATTTTGTAAAAAAAAAACAGTGTACGATAGAAATGAATCGATCGTTCATTCGTTGGTAATGAAAAGTGTTCAAGTTTCTATAAAAGTGGATAATACGAAAATTTGAATCTTACGAAGATTTGAATGATAAAAATATATTACGAATACTTAAAGTAATTACAGAGTGGTTCCTAGGTATTTTAGATGTCTAAGATACTTATAACGTGTGACACTGATGAATATTTTAGAGAGAGAGAGAGAGAGAGTCTAGACATCTTAGATATTAGTTCGATCGTCGAACTAAATTTCGATCTCATTCATTTCCACACATTTTCTATAGTCAACGGCAGAAACGAGAATTAGATCTTCCAAGATATCGTAGATATCTTATTCGAAGGAAAAGACAAGGTTTAGATATCTAGATATGCGTTTAAATACGACCAGTGGTTTTAAACATTTTCCAACGTTCAAGTATTTCCTACAACAATTTAGTCGAGAGCATGCTGAGGATATTTTCATATGTAAATTAAATTAATGTTACATTTTTCAGGAATGAACCTGTGTGCTCAAGAATTACAAAACGCGTTAAATGTATATCCCGACGAAACCGATTGGAGGGTTAAAACGAACACGTTGTTTTTTTTTCTATAGTTTCGTTTCTTGTTCTTCTTCTGATTAGAATTCACACAGTCACCGGTGATTATACATATATCGATGCTTCTTTCTCCTACCAAACAAGCGTTCTGTATTTTCGTCAATTATACGAGGAGTCGATTCGAACGATCGATACACGCACAAAAAGCAGTCATGTTCGTTTAGCAGAAATCGCAGCGAAATACATGGATCGTGATCGGAACATCGCCACCAGGCATGCACAGAGTAAAACGATAGCGCGAACTCGTTTGCATACGTTGTACCTTAGTTCATAGACGGTCGTCGTATTGTAACGACGACACGGGATTGGGTATATTTTTTATCGTCGACAGTTTTTTTAATAAACGACAGTTAACTATTTTTCGGGTGTACGTTCAATTTTTTCCCCTGTCCAATTTCAGATACGATTGACAAACTTCAGAATGTCGTTTTAGTGCTGCAAAGAAACGGTTAAAAATTGGAAGAAAATGGATTCAGGTGGAAAAGAGATAAAGTGTTAATTAAGAACACACCGAATGCTACTCTAAGATTGCTATTAAGATAGAAGGTAATTTTTCGTCGTTAAATTTCTATTGTCCTGTCTTTTGTGCAATTTAAAATTGAAGATCCAGGATTCACCGTTTAAAATTTTTCATTTTTAATTCACATCTCTTACACAGAAAGGAAAATATCGAGGAAACCACAATAAAGGGGCGAAAGATACCGTCATGAAAGAACACATTTGTGGCTTGAGATACAGTATGTCAGATGATCCGCTCTCTACAATCGCCGCGAAAAATTTCTCATGCAAAGAAGCATGGTTTCACATGTTCAAGATTAACAGGAACACACCAAGAACGAAAATGTACATCGACAGCATGGCTGCTTTCTCTGCTGAGAAGAGAAGGCATGCTGAGTTAAATTTCAAATGGATCATTCACCCTTTTAGTAGTTGGAGGTATATACTTAAATGCTACTTATATTTAAATGAAAATAAAAAGAATTCTTTTAGGAGGTACAATTAAACAGATACTACTTGCGTTTAAGAAATTTTCTAGATTCATATGGGACGTGATCATGACAGTTGTATACATGTTGTCCTTCCTGACGATCCCATTCTCGGTTTCCTTTATCGTAATGAGACACGATGAACTGCAGCTGGACAAATTCAATTTCCTGATTTACACGTTTTGCTGGTTGGATATAGTCTGCAATTGCATGACTGGATATTACGATAAGAAACAGATACGAATTGAACTGAAACCGTTGAAGATATTCACGTAATTTGGGTTTTATTATTACTGTAGAATATCGCGCAATATTGAAAAGCGTTTAGGATGAAAGTTTATGGGTTCAAAGCTGCAAAGTCTAAGGTGAAATGTACAGAGGGTGACCTTTTTATAGGTGGAAGCGTTTGAAAAATTTATCCCCTTGAAAGGTCGTCCAAAGTTATTTTATTAATCAATGTCCACGAAGCCTCTTACTATTTTTAATTACACAGAAATTCAATAGATAGGAATTAGCAATTCTTCAACTTGGACATTAAATTTTCTTTTTTTTTTTTAATAAATTATTCTTGGTTATTATGTTTCTAAAATACATACATTTGTCCATATACATAGACATTATCTAAAGACCTTCCTTATACCCGACGTCCTTTCCTCTCTGCCATGGGATCACATAACGTTGCCATGGAGGGCTCTTCCTGGAAAAGACTCCAATCATATAATCACTTTGCTCAATCTTCTACCTTGTTTAAAGCTGATACGTTACAGCTACGTGAATTGGCAAATTTTCGAACAGTTTACAGTAAGATTTCTCTGTCAATTGATCATTAAATAAATCTTCCAAAACATATTTATATTTCTAATATTTTACATGAAATATTCTAGCATTTAGAAGTAATGTATTTTTACTTCGAAATGTTCAGCACACCTCTTCTGGGATTTTACATAATATTCTGGGCTTCGTGTCTGTGTTACTTAATACCAGTGTTGGTTCTGCATTTCGGTCATTACTCACCTGACGTAAGCAACTGGAATTGAATAAAAAATCTATTACAAGAGTGTAGAAATTAAAAGATGAATTTGTGTGCGAATATATGTAAATAAATATATTAGGAATGCCCGGAATGTTGGATAACAGGATTGGAGAGCAACAGCGCAGCTTTTCGATTTCAATACGCGCTCTTCATCGTCGTGGAAAAAATATCAGCTAGTGCTTATGGTTCTTACGTGCCTAGAACAGACGGACACGTTATACTGAGTTGCTCTCTTATGATGATTGGCAGAGTGCTCGAATGTTACATCCTAGGCAAGAAATTTCCGCTATACCGAATCAATTCCTGAATGAAATCTCTTCTAGCAACTTTCACAGTATTTTTCTCCAGTAGTATAAGTGTTAGAGTAGTATTAGAACGCTGAATATTACATCACTATGATTCCACTTTAGTGATGCTCATTCAGATAAAAGCGGGAAGAAAGGAGTCGAAGTCGAAGTTTCAAGAAATAATAAACCAAGTGAGCGCGTACACGAGGCAAAAGCAATTGCCGAAGCACATGAGGATTCGTCTCGTTGCTTACTATTACTATCGTTTCAGAAACAGTTACTTCCGCGAAAAATCGATTCAGGGTAATCTGTCAGGTAAGAAGATTCTCATTTTTGAAATTCAATTTTTGTATGTCTGATTTAATTTATCGCTGTACTTTAGAACAACTGCGTCAGGAGATTGCTCTTCAATCGAGCCATCGTTTAGTAGAAAACGTGGCGATTTTTAAAACTCTACCGAAGTACATTTTACGATCCATCGTGAAGAATTTGAAATTCGAACTTTATCTACCGAACGATGTGATCGTTAAGGCTGGAGCTCAAGGGGACTGCATGTTCTTTTTATCCGCTGGAACTGTCGCTGTGCTAACACCCACTGGGAAAGAGGTAATTATTTCAGCAATTCTAACATAAATTTCGTCGCAAAATACAGGTCAGAATTAATATAAATTTCGTTACAAAGTACACTGCAAAATTACCATAAATTCTCTTTTAAAACTTTATCCAACCTCTTTTTAATCCAATCTCACGTATACTAACAATAATACCGCAAAATTGTGCTCTTGGAAACGAAACAGCACTACTATGAACGTCCAAAGGTACACCGTACTTTGATATTAAATAAAAAAATATCTGGTACTGGAATTTCATTTTCACGCAGTTCAGTAGATAGCGGCAACTCTCCCCTTTAAAACACACTTTGTTTCATGTTCCTACGACTATTCGTTACCGAGATACGACGATTCAAAGCAAACCGTAATTTTGAGCTTTCGCGCTATCTCTGTCCTTCTCGAACACTCGGACCTCTCGCTCTCACTCGCGGTCCCTGACCTACCCCACGCTATTCGATGTTGCGCGCGGGCAGTGAGTCAACAGTTTTTTTACTACGCGCGGTAAAAAAAGTAGGTCACGCCGTTTCCGGGAATTTCGGTCATTCATAGTTTTCCTAGTTTCGTATGTACTACTTTGAATTGTCATATCTCAGGAACGGATTGAGATAACGACTTGAAACAAAGTGCGTTTTAAAGGGCACGTATTCTGCTACTTCTACAATGTATAGTGATTGAAATAGGATGACTTTTAAATTATACTAAGCGGCGCAAAACGTGAAATAGAATTTTACAGTTTCATTGATAATAATGTACTGTACATTTGAATTATATTTGGTATGATAAATAGAAGGTATTTTTAAATTACGAAGCCTTTAATTTTAATACGTAGTGGCGAGAAGCATAAGTTAAACGCGTAAAAATATTCAATAATAAACGAACTAGGGATGAAGCTATTATTTCAATACGCTATGCACTGACTCCAGTATTTACTAAAATTCAAAAATTCTCGTATAAATTCCGAAAATAGATGATTAATTACGGTAAACTACTAAGACGGTTTAATTAAGGGTGGGCATGGTGCTGCTTTAGTTTG